GGGGGGGGTGGGGTGGGGGAACCAGGACTAGCACTACCAGCAACTAGCAACTAGCAACTAGCAACTAGTAACTACTTAGCGCTCCCTGATCCTTACAGCTTACTTACAGCTTATCTATCTGTTACTTTAGCTCCCGTGGCTACCCGTCTGTCCGGCACTACTTTGTTGTTTATTGGGACTACATATATATATACATACATACATATATACATACACATGTATATAATTTCATTTTTTATTTTCGCATAGTGTGGTAAGTAAGTAATCGTGTCTTTCTTTTTACAATAGTGTGTGTTTTTTTTTCAGTTTCACAGAGTTTAGGGGAATTCGGAAAGTAAGTACGTAAGTAAGTAAGTGCACGATATGTAGATCCAGTAAGTAACTAAGTAACTAAGTAAGTAACTAAGTAAGTAACTAAGTATAGAGGTGTGAGTTGGTGTTGTGTAGGGGGGGTACTTACGGTACATATGGTATATACATACATAGTGTTAGGCTAATGGTAAGGATAAGGATACTTAGAGTGGTGTTACAAGTAACAAGAAGGATTCTCTCCTTGACAAGTGACGAGATGGCTGAAGGCCTATGGACGTCCACGTCAGAAGGTAATGATCATCGCGGGGCTAGGTCACGTGATGTGCCATCCCGCCAAGAGCAACCATCCAAGGGATGGCAGGACGCCTTGGGATGGCAGCCATCCCCAACATCACAACCATCCCTGGGATGGCAAGGATGGAAGGGATGGCAGGACTGAAAGCAATGAGGATATAAGGATGGATGGGTTTCATTATTACTCTCGTTGTGGTCAACTCAAATTGTACTTTCTTACTAGTTACTTTACTTAACAAGATTGTTACCTGTTAGTCTATAGCAATATAGATTAGTAGTTGTCGAACCTTTGTTGCCTTCTGCTAAAGCACCCCAATCCACTGTCTCGCCAGACAACCTCACGGAACACTAACGTAAAGCTCACCGGCCTTAGTGTGGGACCCGGCAAGAGAAGTATAGACCCAAACCCCGTGTAACAAGTGGGATTAGTATACGGGATGCGTAGTTGAGACGAAAGGGTTTTTTTTGTTTTTCTGATTGTGTGTTTATGTATGTATGTATGCATGTATAAGACTGGTGTGTTATTGTTTGTTGTGTTGGGTTGGGTTGGGTGGGGTGGGGTGGGGTTATAGGACATTGTGATAAGATGGATGGATGGATGTAGAAGCTAGAACATATCAATGCTAATGCAAACACGAATCAAAGCACAGAAACGCAGCGCAAAACAAGAGAAGAAGAAGAAAAAGAGAGAGAGAGAGAAGCAAGGAAACACGATATTCACCCGAGAATCACAATGGAAGATGACAAGATAAAAAGTATAACTAGCTCCATTTCGCATCTATTAACTTGCTACCGATCAATCGCATAAAGTCCGTCTTTAAGCTTCTAAGACCAACCATTCTGAACAAAACCACAAACCCGACAAAAAAAAAGAGGCCACCAAAACTATAAAGGGGGGAGGAGGGAGAGGGAGGGGTTCAAACGAGGGGAAATTACTTCCGTCGATACTATCTAAAAAAAATCCATCAGATGGTCAAAGATTACTTGATAGCCCTCGTTTGGGACCCAGTCAGGCAGACCCGGCGTGTTGAAAAGTTGTGTGCCCTTGCCCTCGCTGAGAGTCATGGGGTGATTAAGCAGCGCCGGCCTTCTTGCCCTTGCCCTTGCCCTTGGCGTTCTGGTGGTGGCGGGCCTCGAGATCGCGAGCCTCGACGTCAGCCTCCTCATCCTCGACGTCGCGGGCGTTCTTCTTTCCCTTGCCCTTAGCACCCTTGGCGTTCTGGTGGTGGCGAGCCTCAAGGTCGGCAATGTCGCGGGTCTCAAGGTCATCTTCGGAGTCTTCAACATCGCGAGCATTCTTCTTGCCCTTGCCCTTAGCACCCTTGGCGTTCTGGTGGTGACGAGCCTCAAGGTCGCGAGCGTTCTTCTTTCCCTTGCCCTTGGCACCCTTTGCGTTCTGGTGGTGGCGGGCTTCGAGCTCAGCAATGTCGCGGGTCTCAAGGTCGTCCTCCTCATCGTCGACAGCACGGGCAGCAGCCTTAGCCTTAGCAGCCTTGGCCTTCTTTCCCTTCTTGCCCTTCTTGGGGTCGCGGGCCTCGATGTCGCGGGCTTCAATGTCGTCTTCAGAGTCCTCAACATCGCGAGCAGCAGCCTTGGCCTTAGCAGCCTTAGCCTTCTTGCCCTTCTTGCCCTTCTTGCCCTTCTTGGGGTCGCGGGCCTCGATGTCGCGGGCTTCAATGTCATCCTCTTCGTCGTCGACAGCACGGGCAGCAGCCTTGGCCTTGGCGGCTTTAGCCTTCTTTCCCTTCTTGCCCTTCTTGGGGTCGCGGGCCTCGAGGTCGCGGGCCTCAACATCCTCCTCTTCGTCGTCGACGTCGCGAGCGTTCTTCTTGCCCTTGCCCTTGGCGCCCTTTGCGTTCTGGTGGTGGCGAGCCTCAAGGTCACGCTCCTCAACGCCGGGGACTTGAACGTCGACGTCACGGGCGTTCTTCTTGCCCTTGCCCTTGGCACCCTTTGCGTTCTGGTGGTGGCGGGCCTCGAGTGCTTGCTCTACGGGAGCTTCCAAGTCACGCCTGGCAAGGGCAGCGACCAGGTTGGATGCGGGGATGGCCTCGCTTCCGGGCAGGCGAGCCTTGATGGCATTGTCAACCGCTTGTTTGTTGTTTGGCACGACGTAAGCCGTGGTGGAGGCGCCCAAGGCCAAAAGAGTGATTGCTGTGAACCTCATTGTGAATAGTAAATAGTTGGTATAAAGGATCTGCACAGCAGAGACGAATGTATGAAACTAAAAGAAGCAAGTTAAAAGAAGGAATAGGAGCTAGTTGGAAGAAGATAAAGAACGTTCAACGCTTGATGCCTTCTTTGCTCGGAGGCAGCGACGGCTTATAACTGTCGTCGAGGGCGGGCCGTGGGGCGTGGGCCGGGCATGGAGCCGCGTTGCGCGGTGCGCTGAGACGGTGCGCATTGCCGTTAGCCCTGATGCGGACGTGCCGGCGCTGGCTCGGTGGAAAAGGTCGTGGTGATGGCAGTGCCAGTGTGGGAGAGCATGGTGGGCGCGGGTCGTCAAACAGCATGAGCCGTGACAGGTGCTTTCTCCACCAACGAACGCTGCCGAGCGGCGCCAAGGCCTGTCAGTGCCGGGGGGCGTCCATCGAATCGGAACAGAAGTGGCGCGGCGGCGGGATGCTGGATCCATGGGCGACGGAGGGGTGGTTGCGACAGTCCGCGGCATTTTCGCGGCGTGCGGTCGTGGGCATTGAGCGGGCGTCAACACAACCGTTGCACGTTGCGTGTCTCAAGTGCGGCGGCCACGACATGTTTTGCCTAGCGCGCCAAGCTGAAACCATGGTGCGATGCTATGAACATCCAGCCTTGGCTGCCCGGCGACATCTCTTGGCCACGCGCCCCGACTGAAACCCAAATAGCCGCTCGACCAACGACACTCCCCAGACAGTCACACACGCCGCGTCTCAGCAATGCTTGGTGAAAGCTTGTCGTCGTTTGACGTGGCCCCAACGGCTGCGCCAGGCTACACTTGCCTGGCGCCATTGCATGCAGCGGCCGCGTTTCAGCTGCTCCGCGTTTCTGGAATGCTATGCCAGTACCATGGGAATACTGCCCATGGCAAGAATGCGCCTCAGGTACCCGCCGTGCAACCATGGTGTCGGTGGCTATCTGTGATTAGCGATATCCGAGGGCCGCAATCAAGGCCCCAAGCCGCTGTACCCGAGCACAAGTTACTGTACCCAGGCATCATCGCGATTACTATCATGTAATATTGACTTACAAATCTAGGTGTAAGAATTGTATTCTAGTAAGCTGCCTAGTTGAGCACTATCACTACTATTGCCACAACAATAATTACTACTTCTAGGCATTTCCATACTACGCAAAATCCAGCAGACTACACAACTTGTTCGAATTGATCTTGGAGTTAGAATCCTCTTCTGTTGTATCACTACCCATATATCAATCTTACAATCTTACCTTAACATTCCATTTAAACACTCTAGAATAAAAGGAGAGAAAAAAAACCCCCCGTTACTTAAACAAGTACACCGCCACACTAAACTACCAAGAAAACTAGTGAATACATGACTCGACATGCTAGCGTCTAACCGCCAGAATCCTACGAGGCTGTGTCAGACTGTTAGGGATTTTCTGATCAAGGACCCGTTTGGATCACTGTGATAAAAGACTGTGATAAACTTGATGGTAGAAACTGATTGTATTGATTGCTCTGCGCTCTGTATCTGTAGGGGCGCGAGGGCGCGCCCCTTATGAGAGCTATCGCTATTGCTTTTGTATCAGGTAGGCCGCTAAGTATCAGCCTCGCCTAGGGTGAGGTCTTGGCGATCAGCCCTGATTGGTTGGGATCACAGAATCCTGGTGCTCGAGTCCGCACCCGGATTCTGCCACTTATCTGACAGGCTGTAACTACTGTAGCCCACTAGTACGCCCATCTGCTACGGTACCTGTTACGCCAATGACTAGTATGCGCCATTCCATCGTACCGGCTATTGATCCTCATGTGTGCGTGCGTGTGTGTGTGTCCCCTTTATCGAATTTCCCTAGCATTCACCTGTTTTGGTCCTGGTCATGTGGCTGGGCAGCTGAATGTCCATCTCTCCCCTTGCTTTCCTCTACACTCTTTTTCTTTTCCACACTCTCTTCTCTTCTTCTTCTTCTTCTTCTTTTCTCATCGCAGGTCGACTGATACTTTGATCTTTTCTTCCTTTCTCCTTTCTCCTTTCTGCCTTACTCCCTCCTCCTTTCCTCTTCTCCCCCTTTTTTCCATCTCCCCCAGTCTTCCCTCCTTGACATCTACTTTGCTTTTTTTTTGATACCCACCGAGCAGTGCTCCACCTTACATTCCAAATCGCCCTTTTATCTTTACTACTATTATTATCACTCTCGATACCCCTAGATCTCCTACCCCTCCCTACCACCGCGCAAAGACAAACAAAAAAACAAAAAAACAAAAATGGAGAAATACACAGACACCAGCAGCCACGCCCCCGAGTCGGACTGTGAAGACGCCTCGCTCATCACCCCGCCGCAGTACGAGCGCGAAGAGAAAAAACGCCGCCAATCCTACATCTACATCACACTGCTCAACCTCTTCATCTTCACCATATCCATGCTGTCCCTCACCTGCGCCGTCATGTCGCAGCGGCAGGCGCCCAGCACGTCGTTTGCAAAGTTCATGGACGAGCACCACGCCTTCTCACCCGCAACACACAAGGTGGAATACACCAGCACGACGTTTGCCTTTGCGCAGCCCATGAACAGCTCCAAGTACGTTGGCACTGCCGAGTCGGTCGACGACGCCTGGCGCGAAATCGCCTATGTCCCCGACCAGATGGTGTCGGTGGCCGACTTCCCCAAGCTGGGCAAGCCGGCGGACGCGCTGCAGGTCACAGACCCGAGGACGGGCGAGACCGGGTACCGTGTTGGCGTTGAAGTGTTCCACCAGCTGCACTGCTTGAATCTGCTGCGCATGTCGACGTATCCCGAGTACTACGGCAAGCAAGAGTGGAGCCAGACCAACGACAAGCCCGAGAATGTGAGGGCACATTTGGGTAAGTCTTTTTATTTTTTTCCCATGTCCTTTCTTCCTAACCCCCCCCTTTTTCTTTCTCCCCAGTCGCCTTTCCCACCTCCCTTTCCACAACTGCAACGATACCCGCAACGCCAATACCAAGATACCGTCTCGCTAACATTCAAATCGCCAGATCACTGCATCGAGGTGCTCCGCGTCAACCTCATGTGTTTCTCAGACGTCAACGTGTTTACGTTTCACCCCCGCCCAGGAATGGGGTACTGGCCCGACTACAACAGCAAGCACGTCTGCCGCAACTTTGACACCATTTTGCACTGGGCCAAGGACAATGCCATGCCCGAGGCGGATGTTTGAGCTACGGGTCCTGTGTCTGACTTGTTCGTCGTCGTCTCCGTCCTTGGCGTTTGGTGGGCTGCAAAAGCGAGCAGGCTGCTTCAATGCTCTTTGGGGCTTGGTGCGGTTCGTGTATGCTATCAGCTATGGGGGAGGCACTTTTTGTTTGTATATAATGCCGTAATGCCGTGCGTCGACCAATCAGCGCGTTTTGGTGTACGGGGGCCCTGTCATGGCGGGACGTGTTGGGTTGCATGTGTATGTATGTAGCGCCAATGTGTTTGGGTCGCGTAGGCGTTTCAGACGACATACTGGCGCATTGGCACGCATACATGGACATAGAGGGAAAGGCGGGAAAGAGGAAAAACATCCATGTAACGTTTATATGGTATTCTACATTGCGGATCGTCGTGCTATCCTCATGATGTCACATATGATACATGTGCGCTGTTACTCGAGCGCAGACGTCTGTCCCTGTGAATGACGTTTCGTTGGACCCCCCCGAACCATCCATCATCCTTGAACTTGGTACCGGCACACTCTTTCTGGAATCCTTTCTTCCTGCGCCACCTCCGCCACCTCCGCCACCAAAGTTTCGTATAAGCGAAGAGTATATCATCCATCCGTACAATGCGTCCCCACTATGCATTTCCTGCAACCCCAGAGTGTGGTCCATGCCATGAAATCTTACACAATAACCTCACCACAGTCGACATAGTTTGGCCGCCACTTGCTCGTGTCCAGTTCGCCCTCTGTGCTGCTTGGTACCGTCACCTGCACGGGCTTGTACAGATACCACGCCTTCAATGCCGCTGCCGCTGCTCTTATCCTTGCCTCAGTCAACGAGCTGCCTGCTCCCTCGCCCAGCTTGTCCTTGCCGCTGTAGACACCCACCACAAACACGGGATGTCTGCTCAAACGACCAGTCTCCGAGATGAGTCGTGCAATGGGTGGTTCAAAGCCTTCTCGCGCGCACAGCGTTGAAAGATCCCGCGTCGGTGTGCGGAAGTCGAACAATTTGCTCATGTCCAGGTGTCTGCTCAGGAAATGGTCGCGGAAAAAGCGCTTGACGAGGGGTGAGCCGAGATGTTGGTGTAGTGCGCCCATCAGTGCGCGCACAAACGACTGTGCGGCCTCCTCTGTCGGCACTCCCGTGTTCTGCAGGGAATGCGGGCCAGGTGCGGCATTCTCCGAGCCAAATTCATCCGTCTTCATAATTTTGTGTGTTGTAGTGACGTTCCAGCTCCACGGTACCTGCCGCTTCAGGGAAGATGGGAGATCGTCTCCAGATTGTATGCGCTTGAATTGTAGTAGGCCGGGGTCCACTTCACCACCGGGCTCAGCCGCCGCCTCAATGCCCCATTCACGGGCCATTGTGGCTAGTGCCTTGGGCCCAATGTATGCTTCTACTGCAGCAAAGACAACCGCCATGGGCAACCGTGGGTAGTTGCACACAATCCACTCGGTTGTGTAGTAGCTCAGCAGATGGCGCCCGAGTATCGACAGTGAGGCATTGTTGAATGCGGGGTTGGGGTCTGCAGAGGGGTGTACGAGGGTGCGTGCGAGGGCCTGGAGGGGGAATCGGGGTGGTAGTGATAGCCGGCTCCGGAGGGCGTGGAGTTTTATCGAGCGCTCGGCGGCGCTGGGATGTGGGGAGGGGAGGCTCTCGAGTGCGAGAGGCTGCGAGCCCGCGGGGCGTAAGGCGGCTGCCGACGACGCACCCGAATTTGCAGCAATCTCGATTTCCAGGTCGCCGTCGTGCGGTATGGCGGCCGTGGTCTGGAAGCGAGCCTGTATCCGGTGGCTATGAGGTGCAATGCCTCTCTGGGCATTCTTCGCCGCGGCACATGGACACGAGGGCCGGCGTGGCAGTGGTTGGGCCAGCAATTGCGAGGCACATCTCGATATGGGTATCCGCTTCATTAAGGACAAGACGCAGCAGAAGGACGCAGAGGAGAGGAGCAAGGCGGAGTCGGCGACAGCAGCAATTGGGCGCTCGTGTGGGCTCGTCGAGGCGTGGTTGCGACTGCCAAAGAATTTCCGCCAAGCCTGCGGGGGCCCGTGCGCGCCCTACGACCTCACTGAGCGACGGCGACGGCGACGGCAGCAACAACCCCTCGAGACCGCATATCCACTCGCACGACACTCACCATGGGCGGAGGAGGAAAGATCCCGTACGCCTGAACGCCTGCCATTGACTGCCGCACACACTGAGCCCCGCGTAGATACCCCAAGCACGTCTGGTCGCCCGCCGGTGGTTGGTACGCCCAACCGGCCAACTGGAAGGCCAACACGGCCGTAGTAGGCCTCGCCCTCGGCGGCATCGTTGGCATGGCTTGGATGCTCAGCGCGAACCGCGAATACCGCGACAAGATGCCCGAACGCCACCGCTTCTTCCCCAGCCGATAGTACGCCTGGCGTCCCTCCACCCCGTGCACCACGCCGGCAGCTAACCATGGCACAGCTGGAGCAAGCAAATCAGAGAGCACGAGCGCAAGCAGGACCAGAGCTAGGCGGAGAAGACACTGGGGAGCTAGGCGGATCAGGGGGTGGGAGGCATTGCAGCGCCCGCGGCTATGGCTGTACATAACTAGCCAGCCGCTGCTTGAAATCTGAAAGCCTATTTTCGACACAGACACCGTTCCACGTCTCTCGGTCGGCTGTGCGGGAGAGCACCGGCATGCCGACTTGTTCAATGGCAAAGCTGGCTGACACTGACCCCCACATTGCCGCCTCTTCTAGGTTGTCCATGACTGAGCTGGAGCCGCCGCGCAGCAGGCCCACTGCAAGCCCGCCCAGGAAGCTGTTGCCGCCGCCTGTGGGATCCACGACCTTTTGTGCCGATTGATGATATGCAGGCATCCACTTGCGCTCGCCTTTGCGCATCACCAGACAGCCGTCCTTTCCACAGCGCACCACCACCCCGCCATTTCCGTCGCGACCAACGCCATGCTCCAGCCACTGACTGCTCAGCGCTTCAATTACCCGGAAGTCGACGTGATGTGCACCGTCGGTGTTGGTTCCGAAGAATCCGCCGAGCTCATCGTGATTAGGGCTGATGACGTCGACGTACTTGAGTGCCTTGATGCAGTTGTCCAGCTCTTGGGGTGTGCACACGTCGGGGACTGGCTCCCAGATGAATATGGGGCGACTCGCCGTGCCCGACTCGTCGTGGTGCTTGCGCAGGGCCATGATATTTTCGACAAGATCGATGCAGCGCAGGGGCGAGCAGATCAAGTGAAAGGACCTGGACCACAGCAGCGGCGTGTCTACGAGGGCATGGTGGTCTATACGCAGCTTGGGGGCCGTGTAACGGAAGGCTGCGCTTGTTGAGTAAAAGGCGAGGTGTGCTGACGGTGCTGGCACGCACCTCGATGCTCGTTTTCTCCCTCGTAGCCGTTCCATCCACGCGTGGTCAGCCGCTGCGGCGTCTCGCGCATCAAGACACCCGTCTCCCAGCGAGCAATGTAGTCGCGCAGGGCATGGGGAAAGTCTGACCCGCAGTCTACCACCCAGCCCACGCTCTTGGACTGGGGCGGCGGAGAGAAGAGGCGTGCGCCGAGGGCGCAGTACGTGCCTCCGCCACCAACGATATCCTTGACTGGGGGCTTTGGCGGGGGAAATTCAATCTCGTCTTGGAGGGGTTTAGTGCACTTGCAGAGCCTCACAGCACAGCAGCAGCATACCGATGATGAACATGCCCAGCGTGCAGAAGTCTATGGCACAGCCATCTCGGGCCATGGCGGCAGGTGTAGCTGGGCTGCGGGCTGCTCGCAGTATCCTGTACGTGTGTAGTAGTAGTACTTGTCGTGTGTAGTATGTCGTGGTAGTGGTAGTAGTAGCACCGCGTAGGCCGCTGACGTGCATGCGGCGGACGGGCCACGCTTGGCTGCATGCGGCTAGCGCAACGTGGGCGGGCGTGGCCATGCGCCTTGCGGGCAGCAGAGGACAGCAACCTTGGATATTATTACTATCCCATTATTCAATTGCGCCCGTTTGGCCCAGTCAGCCTGCTCTGAACCGCCGTCCTCGCCCTGCCTCGCACACGGGCGTTTGTCTAGCCAGCGCCAATCATTCCCCGTTAGGCACGGCAAGCGTCGCACGAGCTGCACAGCGCCGCAGCTGCCCCCCCTCCCCTCCCTTCCCCGAGCCTGGAGTTAGCAGCAGCCCGAACAGACGTGCCTCTGCCACAAACGCAGCAAACGCGCCTTCCCCGCATGGCCAACAACATGAATAACCTGACGACGCTGATCAAGCGGTGAGTTCTTGCCCATGACCAGCCCGCGACCTCGCCCTCGCACCATCGACCCACCAGCCAGCCAACTCCCTCCCCCAGGCTGCCCCATGAGCACTTCACACCATGGCCCATGGTCCCCATCAGCCACACTCGCTCGGCCGCCACGGCCAGATCCGCGTCACGGCTGACAAGGTGCTGACGTCCATGATCCATAGGCTTGAGGCCGCCACCTCGCGTCTCGAAGACATTGCCAGCTCCGCCCTCCCAAGCGCCGGCGACGGCGTTGCCAGCTTCAATGGCGCCTCGCTGAATGCCACGCCCGGCGCCACAGAATCAAACACCAACGCAGGCGCCCCGAAGCTGGTCGCTGAGGCTGCGCCCCCGCCAGCAATTGAGGCTTTCGACGAGCTCGTCAACTCAGAACTGAAGGAATGGCTCGAGCTGAGTGGGAAGCTGGGAAGCGTCATTGAGGGGCAGTCCAAGGCCGTCGAGGGCGCTTTCGCCGCCGAGCGCAAGTTCCTCTTCATTGCCAACAAGGCCAAGAAGCCCGACGACCGCACCCTCATGGAGCTGCTCAAGGACCTCCAGGCAAACATGGAGAAGACGGACGAGTTTAGACAGAGCAACCGCGACGCGGCTCTGAAAGACCCGCTTTCCATGGTTGCCGACGGCGTGGGCTCCCTCGGCTGGGTGACCATCGGCCAGGGCGGAGGCATGAAGCCCCACGAGCACATCAACGAGCTGGTTGGCGGAGCCCAGATGTACGGCAACAAGGTGCTCAAGGAATACCGCGACAAGTACCACTTCCCCTGACCTTGGCGTGGCAATCAACTAACATATCCAGGCCCGAGGGCGAAGTGCATGTCAAGTGGGTTCAATCTTACTACAGGCTGTTCAAGGCCCTCGCCGAATACGCAAAGAAGCACCACACCACCGGCGTAGCCTGGAACAGCAATGGCATCGACGCCAAGGAAGCCGCAAAGCAAGTCTCTGGCGGGTCCAGCATACCTGCACCACCAGCTCCAGCAGGAGCCGTGCCACCACCGCCTGGTCCTCCCCCACCACCAGGCCCGCCGCCACCGCCTGGTACGGCACCTCCGGCTAAGAAGGCTGCTCCCGATATGAATGCCGTCTTTGGGGAGCTCAACAAGGGCTCCGACGTCACAAAGGGACTGAAGAAGGTCGACCCAAGCCAAATGACGCATAAGAATCCGGCATTGCGAACGAATGCGCCAGTGCCCACACGCAGCGATAGCACCAGCAGCCTGGGCAGGAGTAAGAGCCCCGCACCGCCCAAGGCGAAGAAGCCAGAAAGCATGCGGACCAAGAAGCCTCCAAAGAAGGAGCTGGACGGGAACAAGTGGATAATAGTATGTTTGGCTCGTCTACAAACACCATATCTTGATGCTGACATGTGCCAGGACAACTTTGACTCGCCGAGCGAAATGATTGAAATCGACGCCGAGATCAACCACTCGATTCTCATTTCGCGCTGCAAGAACACTACGATCCGCGTCAACGGCAAGGCTAATGCGCTTTCTCTCGACAACTCGTCACGCACATCTCTTATCATCGACTCGATGGTCAGCTCTATAGACGTGATCAAGTGCCCCAACTTTGCCCTCCAAGTCCTCGGCACCCTCCCCACCATTCTCCTCGACCAGGTCGATGGCGCCACTGTATACCTATCGAAAGACTCATTAGCGACTGAAGTCTTCACCAGCAAGTGCAGCAGCGTAAACATCAACCTCCCCACTGAAGACGACTATGTCGAGAACCCGCTACCCGAACAAATCAGGAGCTACGTCCAGGATGGCAAGCTTGTCAGTGAAATCGTGGAGCATGCAGGTTAGATGAAGGCCATAGTTGTTGTTGGTTTGACCGTCCGACTGCAGATGAAGATTTGGATACGGTGTTGCATTCGGTAATGTCTGACACGTCTGTTACTTTTGTCCTGTTTGGATCGTGCCTGGTGGGACTGTGTCTTCGTGTCATAGTAGACAAGTTATTGATAAACCCTATTCTTATCTGCGAACCATGTCCTTGTATCGTGCGCATGCCAAGTGATGAATTAATCATGTTGAGTGTAGCAGCAAATGTACACTGCGGCTCTGGGAACAAACATATGCTTATTTTTTCAGTTTCAAAACAGGAACTAGAAATACGAGAAACTCCTTTTCCGACCTCTTGGTATTCAAAACGGAAACAGATGGAATAAAAAGCACAGTCCCAACAGCCAGTATCGTTGGCTGTTGACTTGCACTTTTTTTTTAGAAAAAAAAATTTACCTTTGGCCTTTTATCTTATCAGAGTTCCTGCATATTCATACATATACGCGCACACATACATGCCATATATGCATGAATAAACGAAATCATTAACGTATGTGGCAAGCGAGCGCCGCAGGCAAGCGAGCGCCGCACCCCACCAAACCTGCGCACCTCTCCTATCTCAACGAACAATGGCTCAACGTAGCGCTACTCAATTAGCTTTAAATGAAGCAGATATTTAGCTTGCTATTTCTTCTATTAATCTCCATCAAACACAAAGTAATCGTCGCGCTGCTGCTGTCTACAACGTGTCTGAACGAACAATCCGCCGCCGACGCGCTGGTATACCTGCTCGACGCGATTGCCAGCCTAACTCAAAGAAGCTCACTAAGCT